CACGGCCGCCTCATCTCCTAAGTGCTCCTTGCCCCGTGGTCCCCTTCTCCCCTCAGCCCTCCTGGGGCCGCTCTGCCTGCCGCACAGCCCCCTCGGCCAGCCCCCGGGTGTGGAGAGCTCTTCCTGCCTCGGTCAGCCTCACCCCCACCTGTCAGTGTCCCGCCTCGGCCCCTTGACGTGGGTTCCCCTATTTCCATTCCCCGGCCTCTGCCAAAACCCGCTGTTAGCTGCTTCCTCCTTCCTGAGGAGCCTCAGGGGCCGTGGGGGGCAGGCTGAGACCCCACCACAAAGGTTGTGTGAGGTCCCCCTAATAAAGGACTTCACGCCTTGATCGAGGCCTCCTCTGCTTCAGTGCTTTCTTTGTGGTGTTGGGAGTGGGACGTGGGCCATTGGACTCAGAGCAGGAGTGGAGGACAGGGGATGCGAGGAGGCTTGGCTGTGCCAGACGGGAAGGCAGTGATCCGTAGAATGCTGTGTCCCTCAAATTCACATGCAGTAAGTTTCTCAGAGCAAGGGGGCAGGGGCTAGACCAGGCGCTCGGCACCTGAGTTCATTTACGGAGGTAGGAGGGTCAGGAGTGTGTAGCCTCCGCCAGGCCTGCCTCTGCTTCCTGGACCTTCCACTGGCCTTCAAGCCAGCATTTGGAGCTGGGCTATTGGTACGATCACCTCTCCAGCCAGCTTTCTGATGCGCTGGCCACGGTCTCCCCGTAAGACCCGGGACCTCTCAGAGAGAACATTACAGATGAGTAAGAGCAAAGAGAAGTTACAAACGCTGCTCCCAAGTCCCCCTACAAATGAGTGTCACCTGAGGAGCCCCTTTGAAAAAACTCACAGCCTTTTGGGCATTGGCCCAGATCTGCTGGAATCACTTGTACATTTGAGGCCAGTGAGCAGCACCCTGACCCGGTTAGTGCAGTGGGCTGGCTCCTTGACACGCTGTTTTATCCCTCTCTTGGGGAGACCCTGTCCAGGCCGCCGGCGGTCTCTGATCCAGTTGGAGGAAGAGACCCTTCGTGCTTCGGAGCAGCTCCAGCTGGGTCAGGGCCTCGGCTTGTGGGCTTCCTCTCTGGAGGGAAAGGAGCAGACGGGACAGGGAGGCTCCAGGTTGGGGGCCCAGGGCACAGGCAGTGCTGGGCACGGTTCCCAGGCGGAGCCCGCTCCGGGAAGGTCGGTGAATTACGGTGCTTGATACCTGCTCTGTGCCTTGGCCTTCTTCAGGGAGGGTTCCAAGAAAAGAGGATTTGTGTGACCTTCC